CTATTTCTATCACCATGGGATAATCTACAGTAATACATTTCTTCCTGACCTCATGATTGTTGATCTAAGCCATACATGAAAGTGCCTCCATTTAATTTCTGGTAATATGTCGCTATTTCAAGAAAAGAATATCTTTCTATTGTATTGTAACTGTAAAACATATAAGACTTCTCACAGCTTCAATCCTAATATGACTTAGCAGGAATAATTTTTTTTCTGTTGCGCTTTACCATTTATGAAAAGCAGCAGCAGGATGAATCTGAAAACAAAATAAAGTCTGAAGTCAAAATATATCATTTTTATTCTTGCTGAATAAAAGCTATATATATGAAAGGGAAAAGATATCCTGACATGCTTATTCATTAAATGGGCATAATACATTGCAAAATAAGCTACATGGAATACGTAAAAAGAATTGCATGATTTTAATAAACTTTGTTGAAAAGTTCTTATTTAGACATCCTCTATACCGAACTGCAGGTAATCGTACCATATATGAATACATGCGGACTGCTGCTGGCAGGTGCAGTCTCTGTCACTCTGTAATTTACTTGAATGGGCACAGCAGCCGCATCTGAATAGGCACACCAGGGATTCTTGTCATAAGAATCCCCAGCCGCAGTATTAAGCCCTATGTAAATGCAGCCTAAGAGTTCTGAAGGCCAAATGGCAGTGTACAAAACGTTTTTGTTTTTCCTTTTTTATATCTCTAAGAAATGAATAGCAGGCTTATTATTTATAACCAGCCCTGTAAATTCAACCCCAAAGAGGTCTGTGTAACACCAAAATAATAATTAATCTTCTGTTTATTTCCCTTGTTTTATTGCTTTGTTTTTTTTGTACGTGGAAATTATGTCTCAAAAACCCTGGGAGTATATTGTGTCTTTCCTTCTGTTTTGAAGTTGCTGTCGTTCAGTGATTTGACATTGTTTATTACACTTGACAGGTGATTGTAGCTATTGGAGCTATTTTGCTGTTTTATTTTGCTACCTAGAATATGAATGAAGACAAACAAAGCAGCCAAGTGAAGTAAGGCCATTGTCATAATTGTATGTTCTTTTTTTTCTTCATTAGTGAAAGCTTTTTGCAGTCACAGTCATATTTCACTAAGTTCTTAGTGGGAAATTCATTAGGAAACTGGCAGACATTGATTTGAGTGCTGTTTGAATTGATCTAAAAAGCATAAAACATTACACAAGCAATATAAAGCCTATGAAAAATTATCTTTTGAAAGCAGAGGCTTATGACTACCACTTGACAGCTTTAATGAAGAATGATTAAACCTTAAATCTGATCGTTAAAAGTAGATTTTATTTTAACTGCAACTCTGGCTTACACCATGCTGGTTTCATGCAGTACATTCATATTATAGCGTCCATACAGTATTTTCATGTATGTGTTTAAAGTACACAAAGCTGTGGGACTTAGTGGTTAGCACTTCTGCCTTGCAGCACTGGGGGTTTGAATCCTGGTATGGAGTTTGTATGTTTTTCCTGTGCTTGCTTTTTTTCTGGATACTCTGGTTTCCCCCCACACTCCAACATCATGTGGGTAAGTTAATTGGCTCCTGTCTAAATCAGCCCTAGTATTTGTATGTATGTATGTGAGATAGATACCTTAGATTGTAAGCTCCTTGAGGACAGTTACTGCTCTCAATATATAGTATGTAAAGCACTGCATAAATTGTTGGCGCTACATAAATACCAATAATAAATGTTGTTAAAGATGAAATATAAACAAGGGGTTGGTTTGTAATGTTATCTATTGATTAAGAACTATCCTTGATGGAAACCATACAGATCTACCCTACAGGGCACGCCCCAATCAGGAAGTATGAGATATTTTACAGGTCTAGACTCAGCTATATGTCCAGAAATTGATTGATTTCTGTTCTTTGGCAGATAACATCACAAATGTGATAGGTTTCTGCTTAATAACAGCTGGACAATCACGTTGGATAGAAAGGACGGCACGTCTCTGAGGAGCTGTAATCAATAGAATGCTATCCTTAGCTTATACACTGCACTATGTTGAGAAATGCATACAAAAATGGACACCCTTTTAAAGTGTAGTTCCACCTTTGCAGCCAAATTTGATACTAACCCCCCCCCCCATATGTTTGTTATGTGTTTCCATATACTCAAAAATAACTCACACCAATATGTTAACAGCTGCAATTCAAAGTGAATTGGTTAAATACAAATAATGTGTTGTGCTCAGAAAACAAATAAAACTATACAGTATTGACCACACATATAAACTGAAAATCCTGTTTAAAAGTGCCAACCAGACCACTTGAATGTCTTTATAAATTGTGTTACCCCATAATAAGTGTTCATATACATGATAATAAAGTGATATATAACAGTGATCTAGAACATATTTGAAATAGATCCACTCTTCCTATGATAGTGATAGCAAACAGGTATGTGGTGGTGATCCAGAATTGTTTAAAATGGGTTCACTCTTCTTATCTTCCACCTCTGTTAAACACCCACGGTGCTGACACCCCTCCCGGAAAACGTCTCACCTTTCGATAAGACCTAATATTAGGTCTAACAAAGCGTTTCTCTTTTAATGTTGGGCGGGACACCCACACTGTGCGGCTGCTTATAACCCCCTTTCTTCTTTCTAAAGGCAGCCACCTATTACTGCATTTGGTTTTTCAGGGACCCGATATGACCACCACTCCACATCTTTAGCATAGATAAAAGAAATTGCAGACCATAGTGTACACCGATCAAACTCCACGTCACAAACCTTCACCCTACTTACATTACATCACAATGGACTTTGTCAGGGCCTCAGTGTTTCAGACATGGCTCACTTCCTATAACCTTGTTGGTAACCACAGCAACAGGGTACGCCAGTATTTCAATCACATACAAATGAGCCCTATGCTTGATGCCGGCGACATTAACTATTGCAATATATCATTATAAGTTAAAACAATGTCAATAAATATCTCAAATTCTTGGATTTTCTAGTGGTTCCAGACACTGAACTTTATATGTGTGGGTGTGCATGCTTAATTAATGAGTTAAAGCATATATAAACCCAAGAACGAAAATGTAATATATTAAAGTTTTCCAGTCATTAGGTGTTGTAACTGCATTCTTTTTTACTTTTTCCCTTTTTTTAAACCTGATTATTCTGCCAATAACACACTACCTGGCCTTACTCACACATACTGTATACTCACTGTACTGTCTGTTGAGGAGCAGTTTTACCCCAGGGAAGAATACCGAACATTTTCCCTCTTCTTTTCTCCATAGCATGGGGGGGTCCTGTAGTCAGACTGGGTAACTGGGTTAAGTGTAACAGATATGAATGCTGCATTGGCACAGAACAAAAAATTATTTTCAGATGGCAAGATTTCAATCAAGATCAACAGGTATTTTCTCCTCCAGAAGATAGGTTCATTGTTGGGGTTTGCATACCCTTAAGAAAAATGAATAGTTAACCAGTGGCTTTGCAGTTTTACATACCTCATGGAAATACAACGGTTCTCCTTTTTGTTTTTTTAAATTTTTACCCTAAAGTTTAATCTAAACTTCCACAGTTTATGATTATAAGTGCTAGTGGACAATGTCTCTATTAGGGTCTGTGGAAAAAAGGCCATGCATGGTGCAGTGCGCCATAGCCTGCTGACACATTTGAAAGTAAGAAAGAGCCACCAAAAGAGACATAGACCACAGCCTGTAGAGGAGGTTACCCACTGATCTGAGTTCTGAAGTGGGCAGTATATATTTGATGAAGTGGAGGAAAAAGAGTGGGGAGAAGTTAGCACAATAATTATTTACACTGCTGTTCGTTCCTGAAGCCATTTTTACCACCTTTTGTATAACTTAATTCACTGGAACTATAAAAAGTCGCTTACATGCCTCATTGGCATGGACATGCACAGTCGTACAGTGTGCATGTCCGAGCTGGAAGCTGCGCCCAGGAGGGACAGGTGCTTCATGCAGCCGCCTGTAAATCTCTGTCAGAATGTGGCCACACGGTGACCTGAACTTTCACATCTGTACAGGTACGAATGCACGCCCACGAGCACAGATTGCACACCCTTGGAGATTCACTGACAGGCCAGACTGGTATGACAGGCTCTTGGACAAAAGACTGGCGTGCCGTCTGTTTTTTGATGTAAGGGCTCCTCACAAAAAAGAAAAATAGGTAGAAAACTTATTTGACAAGAAAGCTTTGTCTCTCCTTATATAAGCAAGTGCTTAATAGTGGATTGCTGGAGACATGGTATGGCAGGTGCCAGGCTTTATTGCGTGATATGTCATTCTTAAAAAGGACCACAGAATTCTGAAAGCTTGATGTTACATATTTTTAGAGGTAGCACCTATAAGCCATCGTTGTCTGTTTCTCCCGATAAAAACAAAATCTTTTTAGTGTCTCCCTAAACTGCTTTCTGAAAACACCACCTTAGGCAAGTTACTTGTCTTTCCCTGTGGCAGATGTGATAATTGACTTAACCATACCTTCATTCAAATACTTATATCCTATGTCTTCATCCAAATGTATCTGAAAACAATCTCATAATTGAAGCTGGAAGCACCATGGTGATTAACATGCAAATAGCCAATTAGTATTTAAAGTATCTAAATTCTCCCACAGGAGCATTATTCCCAGAAACCTCTGTATGCTGAAAACTAGAAGCCGTAGTGAAAAACAGACAACTTAGCTAAATCTACTTTCGGGCTAGCACTCTTCTGGCAATGAAGGACTTGTGGAAATATTTTGATGTCTTTCACATATTTGCTTTCCTGATGTAAGTGAATATTGAATGAGCACAGACATAAAATAAGCCTCCTGGGAAGTCTTCATGCTGAATCCTGTGTAACCTCGGCAGCAATGTGAGATGGAAATCTTGTTTGACAGGAGAGCACCATGGCCTATTGAAAATAATGAAATAAAGTGATATTATTGAGCTTTTGCCCTGTAACTAATCTATCCCCAGTGACTGCTAACATGGAACAATTTTGTCTTTGCAGCTTTTTGACAACTTCTGCTTTGGAGAACTGGAACTGGACACCGTTCACCTTTCTCAAAGGTTTTCTACAGATAGTTCTGGCTACTACACATCTGCTGGACAAGTCCAAATCTCCTGAGTATCCAGCTTGCAAACAGATCCCATAATCCTCTGCCGCAGGATTGCAAGAGATTAGGTGGTATATAGTGCATTTCTAAGAAAATATTTTCAATGTTACCTGATGGCTGACCATTGGAATGTGGACACCAAACAAATAAACAACCCTAAAACAGGGTTTATTCAACATGTCTTTAATTGTTGTGAATGTCAGAATGGTATACAGTGATTTTGCCATTAGAAGGAGCCCCATATGCCATTAAAAACATTATTTTAAATTCTATGTGAAATATTTATTCACTAGCTAAATATGCATAATGTATCGTTTGTACATGATCCTGTACTTTGTAGCATTTATAAACAATGCATTCCCTTTGAACATCATGACTACAGCATGAAAGACACATTTTCTGCTTGAGAGTCAGTTAACTCAGGCTTAGGTAGACAGAGTTGATTGTGTTTGTTCAAGGGCTTGACCACCTAAAACCAACATTTCAATTTAGGTCTTTTGTACTTTACTCACATGAGAAGTGATACCTTACATTGATTTCCTGTTTTATGTTATGTGGACTGTTTGCTCTTAGCATTAGCAATGCAGTCAGTCTCTGCATTAAATTATTGTTTTTCCTAAAGCAGATAGTTGAGGGCAGAAATCAGGATGCACCATTAAAATTAATGTGCAAACTAAAGGGCTTCCTTGAGAAGACATTTATGGGCCCATGTCTATAGGCTTTTGGACTTGTGTTCATGGAATAAGTTTGGCATCAGTTTTGAGATATACCTCTCCCACTGCCTGTGGCACCAATCTCTGTAGTGAAGGTAAACCACCAATTGAAGGTCCTGCTATATCTGACATTTCCAGAAGTGTCAATTTCCTGGTTCCCGCTGCAATGTGATCCCTCCCACCAGCCCCTCTTTTACTACAAGACACAGTAGTGACGTAGGGGCTGTGGATTTGAACTATGAATGTGCAGTGGGGCACCAGAAATCCAACACTCCTGGAAGTATTGGATTTTAAAGATTCTTCCACCTGCACCTTCTCTTCACTACAGCAAAAATCTGCATAATTTGCAGTGGGAGAGGTAAGTATAAAATATGCATTTATGTAAGCAACAGAGTTGTAGGTATGTTGCACATAAAGGCTTAACGGGTGATTTACTAACCTAAACACACGCACGCACCAGGTGCATGTGATTTTTACACAGCAAAGCGTATTTATCAACCAAAAAGTCTCTACAAGCATGTTTCCACTAATGCCATATATGGAAAAATCATGCACATGATGCATATATAATGCTGCTTCACAGTTTAGACAAAAATTGTTAGCTCAAGCATTTACATTCCTGCATTCATCAACGCAAGCAACACAATATAGAGCTAATTTACACAACATCACCTTGGAATTCAGGGCAGGGCTTTGCACAACACACCTGCTGGGTGTGTACACACTACAAAGGTGTTTAGATTCCACCCATAGATCATGCTGGGAGGGAACACACCACAGAGGTGTATACATGTTTGTGGCGTGTTTATAAGGTTAGTAAATCAACCCCTTAGAGTCACAGTACCATCAGATTTTGTAATAAGCCTGATCTAAATTAGATGGAATTTTTGTTTGACATGAGAGCACCGTGGTCTATTCATTCATTCTGAATTGAGACCAGCGAAATGTCTTCAAGAAAAATACAGCAAGTCCAGTTGCCTTGATTTATTTTCTACAGATATACCATGACCTGGATGAATGAGAACCTTCACAGACATGATCTGAATTAGGAACTGAAGCCAAAAGTTTTGGGTAGGCAGGAATGGTTACAACCTTTTTCAGGTTTTTACTGATGTGTATGCTGGAGTAATTACGTTTCACTTCCTGCCCCAGTGACAACAATGGCATCAGGATTAGATGTGAAGGAAATTCTCTCCAGAAGTGACATGACACCAGTAAAACCACCATATTATAATTTTTTCACCAGCTTTTTATTGCTGTCTGTGCCCTTGGTGGAGATCAACACGATCTTCCTGTCTCAGGAACTGCATTGTCACTAGACTTGTGCGCCGTCAAAAAATGTGTTCAGTTTCGGAATATCCGTTATTTCGTATTTCGTAATTCGTGTCCGAAACTCAATTCGGATTCGTACGAAATAAGAATTTTCGTTAGTTTCGGCACATTTTCGTAACTGTACGAACATTCGTTATGATAAAGTTAAAAAGCAAAAATACCTTTGGTAATATTGGAGTCGATGTGGTAGTTGTTTTTTTATCCGAAATACGAATTCCGTTAACGGATTCCGGATCCGAATTTCGTATTTCGTATAAAAAAAAACTACCATCAACTCCAATATAAATGTACTTTGCTTTTTAACTTCAATATAACGAATGTTCGTAACGGAACGAAAATACATCAACGGAATTTCGTATTTCCTGCCTGTATTGTAATGCAACTGTCAGCAGAAGAGAAAACCTCTGATTGGTCAACCAAACGAAATACGAATTCCGTTAAAGGATTTCGTATCTGAATTTCGTATTTCGGATGAAAAAAAAAACTACCATCAACTCCAATATATTAACAGATGTACTTTGCTTTTTAACTTCAATATAACGAATGTTTGTAACGGAACGAAAATACGTCAACGGAATTTCGTATTTCCTGCCTGTGTATTGTAATGCAACCCTCAGCAGAAGCGGATCCGTATTTCGGATTTAAAAAAAAATCTTGTCATGTTGTTCAACCTCATTTACAGGGGTAATATTAGTTCCTGTTTCAAAGAAATTCGGATCCGAAATTCGTTAACGGAATTTCGTATTTCGGATATAATTCGGAAACTGCAACTCGGATTTCGGATGCTTCCGAATGTACGAATTTCAGGAAAATGCATACGAATTTCGATTCGTAACGAAACAAATCGCACATGTCTAATTGTCACCAGAGCAGGAAGTGCGGGAAAATCTTCCCATTTTAACCACTGAGAGTGATAAAAACTTGTCAGAGATTGTAACAGCTCTTCCAAAAAAAATGGTTGGAGTTATACTAAAGGTGTGAAACATTGCAAAAAACATAAATAAAAACAAAAATCTTATTTTGAATTGTAATGCATTGATCATTGAGGCTCAGCATTATTTACTTTATCATTAATAAATATTGATCTGTATTACTGGCCTGGTGTCTGTTCCAGAGTATCACCTACTGATACTAGCATATTTATACCAGCTACACATGTATTTTGTAGTTCCCCTGCAGGTCCTCATTTGTTATCTAAATTATACATCAATGAGCCATTCGTCTTTGTTAGAGGGAAGGAGAACACTTTCATTTATTTTCCTTTTTTGCTTCCTGACACATCTATTGCCACCAGCAGAAAATATGTCTGTTCCTGTCATTTTCACACAAGTCACCTTAAAAGTTTGTGGCATAGTTTTACCACTCTGTTAGTGTCACAGAGTTTCTGCTTTCAGGGAAAAAATATCAAACTAGATTAAGGCATAACACAAAAATGTAGGACGCATGATTTGCATAGCACTGTAGGCTGCAAACAACATTAACTTCAAACCAGCTTTTAGAAGACTGAACTGATCTTACAGTTTGTTGTGGTGATCAGCACATACTGTGCTATGCAGAGCAGAGCAAGGTGTACATCATCAGCCTGTGTTCTCCTGAGGTGGTCGTTTACTCTTACCTCAGGTAACCTTGTAATGAGCTCGTCAGGGCCTCAAAAACTCATAAATATTCCTAAAAACTTGGTCTATAATTATCTCCAAGTATTCCCCTTCAATAATTTTTTATTTTAATTCAGGTAAAAGTAAATTAATTATTGTTCTGTCTAACAACATATAGTGGTCCGGGTAACGGCATAAGTTCCTCTTACGTACTGTAGCGGCTATGGGACTGGAGGACGTAAACTCACCCGGTCTCAGGAAACCATAATACGCCAAGTAGATGGCAGCTTTTAGAACTAAGCTCTGGGCAACACCGAACGGGGATCCGTCCAGCATAGCGGACATGCCCCTGAACAAGTGCCCAGAGATGGGCAACCTGGTGCCCCTGGATAGTGCCCCTGCTTTCTGGATACCTTTGAGGATAGCCTTGATGGGGTGAGCTGCGAATAAGGACTGTCTATCTGGGTGAGTTAGGGACAGAAAATGTTGTACCCCTGCCAGATATAGCCGTATCGTGCTGTGCGCCAGTTTGACGTCTGAGTGACAGTAGGCGATAAAGGCTAGTAGGTAAGATACGCTGCTGGGCTCGTGCGTGGCGTATTTGCCCTGGAAAGTATTGAAGGCTTTCCACGCCACCTCGTACGCTTTGCGGGTATTGTAGGCAAGGGAGTTGTTGATCAACCTGGTGGCGTCGGACCGGTGCTTCTCTAATCCAGTACCAGATGCTGGAATATAGGAACTGGCGTGGCGTCCGCGTCCGGGTGCTGTTGAAAGAAAGTATCGTATTTAAACCTGGACAAGGCATCAGCCGCTACGTTGCAAACACCTGGGATGTAGTAACAGATGACATTGAACTCGTGCTGGAGGGACAGCCATGTCAGCCTACGTAGAAAAGACATGATCTTTAGGGAATTGGATCTACCCTTATTGATTATGTCAGCTGTGGCTTGGTTGTCAGTGTGGAAAATAACTGTGTGGCCTGACCATGACGGGCACCATGTTTTGGCTGCCGCTACTATGGGGTATATCTCGAGTAGCGATGATATTCGAGAAAATTCCCCTATGCTCTCCACTTCGACCGGCCAAGGGCCCGCGAACCAGTGGGGGCCAAAAATGGCTGCAAAACCTGTAGACGCTGCCGCATCCGTGACCACCTGCGGGGACGAACGGGTGGCATGCGGGATGAACATCGAGATGCCGTTCCAGTCCTGCAGGAACCGGTCCCACATGAGCAGATCGGCACGACCGGCAGCGCCCACACGTACGACCGAATCCTGTTCCGGGGGCCGCAGGCAACAAGGCCAGCAGCCTGGAGATAAATGCCCGACCCTGGGGTATGATCCGCATCGCAAAGTTGAGCATGCCCAATAAGGACTGCATCGACCTCCTGGTGCATACTGGGGACACCACCAGGGCGTGCAGGACGTCCCGGATCCGGGCCAATTTGTCCGGCGGCAACCTGGCCTGCATGGCAGCCGTGTCCAAAATGACCCCCAGAAAAGGTAAAGCCCTAAGGGGGCC